GTGCGGGGCGAATGTCGGGGAGGGGCGAGGTCTGGAGGCGGCCCACCACCTAGCTAGGGGTGACGACGTTCACAGTGTGGCGGCGGGGGGCAGGGGTGAGGTACCCACGAGGGCAAGGGATGGTTTGGAGATTAGGGACCAGCTGCAACTAATTACGCATGGCACGCGGCAACCACCCCGCAGCTGGTCCCACGCCCAGGCTGAGGAGTGCAGCAGGGCGCAGCTGTGAGCCGACTCCAATAACATGCACCCCCTCTCAAGAGCCGAACGGACAGCGCCACCTCAGCGCCGCGCCGGGCGGCGAGGGACAAAGGCGTTGCACGCACCCGTGGGTGCGACGGGCGCGTGCACCCAGAGGCGACCGCTTTTAAGCTTGATGACGGTCATCCTGACGGGGGTGAACACCTCGAAAACGTCCAGCGACTGCGTCTGGTCAAACGTCCACACCTGCCCTTTGACCACCTGGCAATTGGGCGTGTTTCGAGGCAAGTGGACGCGCGTGCCGGGGTCGCTGCGGTTCGACGACGGCTCCACTCTACTGCTGTCAGACAAGGAACGGCGCGGTACGTCAGCCTGCGATAGAACGGGCAGCCGCGCCTCACCTCCGAGCGCACGGTCTTGCGCTCAAAAAAGGGACCTGAGTTGCAAGAAGAGGCGGTCGGGGAGGTGGTGCGAGCAGAGTCAGTGATGCATCCTGCGGCACAGCTTCCCAACGCCGTACCTATCCGGCAGCATGGCCTGCTGCACCGTTGCAACTGCGGACACCTCGGAGCGCCGCGGCTTGACGCGGCCGAAGGCAACAGACAGCGGCGCTCTGAGGCACGCGCTGTACGCACGCGTGCTGCACACAGCTCGCCCCAAAATCCGCCTCACCAATAGGGAAAGGGAAGCCTGCAGGCGGCCAATTATTCAACATCACGCACGTGACAGGTTCAGATGAGTGTGTCAGCACAGTGGTGGCGCAGGGGTGCATGCTACACCCCCCCACCCTTCTGGGCACCTGCTCTGGGACTGGCAGGCTCAACCAAGTCGCTGACGCCACCTCACCATCGTTGCCCACAGGCCCCCGCTGCGCTGTCAATAACCCCAGCTTTCCCGGTGCATTCAAAGATTGACGCTCGCCTGTAATGTTGAAGTAGAAGCGACTGCCGCGGCCCTGCTGCTTTTGCGGCTGAGCCTGTGGCGCGACCTTGACGCGCGTGGTGCCCCCGCCCACGGTCTTGGTGCCGCCGCCGCTAATGGTTTTGCCGCTGATAGTAGACCTCCCCGACACCGTTGACTTCCCCGATACCGTCTTCTGGGTCCCGCGGGTCGTCTTTGCCGGGGTTGCCTTACAATCGACGACCAGGGGCCGCCGTTCGAGCCCGATGGGCCTGCCTATTGCCGTACTCATGTCTTAAATTTATTGTGTAAGCCGATGCGACGCAGCAGGGACAAGATTATGGCGAAACGATCTATTGGCAAGCAGCGAGCTCGTCACTGGCCTTGGGAACAATATTGATTGATATACGATTGCACGCTTATTGTTCTGGCACGACAATGAGCTATGGTGACGCATGCATTTCACGACAACACATGGATCTGCAGCACTACTCATGGTCGCTGTTCTCGCCCGCAACACAGCAAGCGTGTTCGTATCAGGAAGGCGACGCCGTTTTTGTTTGGCTCAAGTAAGGCTGGCTCACCGTGCGCCGGACGGGAGCGGTGCCGCCACGTCGCGCTGCACCGCCAACCAGCAGCAGTGCCGCACTCGACAACACAGCGCCCCCACGGCACACTCAATCTACAACCTGAAGCGGACCTTCACACTGACACTGGTTCGTTCCAAAATCTCCCAGGTCGGACCGCGATACGGGCAGCGCGCACGTGCTGGAGCCCGCCAGCACAAGCAGCTGCGGCGACGGGCGCACCCTCGTGCAGTTTGACTGCAACGCTGCGCTGCGCCACCGCGTGCGGCCGGCGCGCCTGGTCCCAGTCTACGCGCCCGCATCTGCAAGCCTACGTGCGGGCGTGTGGAATGACGGCGGCGCAGCGGGGTCCAGGCCCTGTGGCGGCAGCGGCGCCGGCGGCGGCGTGGCAGTGGTGTGTGCAGCTACTGAGTCCTACCGCCGCCTGGCGCGCTCCCAGGTAATCCCCGCCACATCGGCACTGAAACACTACGCCGGTAGCGTGCAGCTGGCCGCTCGCCAAATATTTCTTACTCGCGTGGCTGAGGCTGGGGGGTCCCGCAGACGCTTCAGCCCAGCAGCATGGCCCGACACAGCAAAGCCACGCGGCGCCGCACCCCTGCGGGTCCCTCGCAGGTGACGAAATCGGACGCCGTCCTGGAAATCGGCTGCAGCGCCGGCGTCTGCACCTCGCTGCTCGCGCGGCACGCGGGGCGCGTGGTGGGCGTCGACAACTCGCCGCAGCTCATCAGAGAGGTGCGGATGTTTGGGGCCCGGCGCACCTGCGCTTTGTTGTGGTTGTTGTTCTTTACCTGCCGGATGGTGTCCCGCGGCGGCGGCGCACTCAGGCCCGGTGGGCGAGGAGGATGACAGGGTGGGCAAAACGCGAGGTCAGTGTGGGCGAGGCAAAAAGTTTGTCTCGCGGCCTGGCCAGGGCAAGCCGTGCAACCATCTTGCTGCGCGTCCAGCCGCGCGCTCCCCATCAGCGCGCACCTGCGCCAGCGCCCACGAGCACACATCTCCTTGTGTTGCGCCCCTGGCGCGCCGCCGCCGACGTTTCATTTGTGCCGGACCCTGCCCCTGCAGGCGCAGGAGCGTAATCCTGAGGTGCACTTCGAGCTGGTTGACGTGCTGCAGTCACCCGGCAACCTGGAGCGCGCTGGTGCAGGTTGCGGCGTCGTCTTTGTGGACATTGGAGGCAACCGCCAGGTGTGAGATGAGAAACAAACGTGAATGCAGCACTTGCGGACCATGCGGGTTGTGCGTTATCTCGTGTAGATGTGTGCGCTGATGATTGTCGGGGTTTGACCAGTGACGCGCCCACCACCACCGTGGTTGGCCCGGGCTCTGTGCGTTAGCGAATCTGCAGTTTAAGAGTCCGCACCAAACCCTTTCTCTCCCTGCCGCCCTTTCCCTCACACGCGGCAGCTGGCGGCGCTGGTGGCGCTGCTGCCCTGGGTGCAGGAGCGGCTGCGGCCGCGGCTGTTGGTCGTGAAGAGCGAGGCGCTGGCTGCTGCGGCGGAGAAGTGGTTGGCGATGGAGCAGCAGGAGCAGCAAGAGCAGCGGCAGCAAGAGCAGCAGCCGGGGCAGCAGGCGGAGCAGCAGCCAGAGCAGCAGCTGGAGCAGCAGCCAGAGCAGCAGCAGCAGCAGCAGCAGGAGCAAGAGCAGGAGCAGGAGCAGCAGCAGCAGCAGGAGCAGCAGCAGCCACACAGGCAGCCCCAAGACCGGCAGGAGGAGCAGGTGCAGGATCAGCAGCAGGAGCAGCAGCAGGAGCAGCAGCCGGAGGAGCAGCAGAAGCAGCATCAGGAGCAGCGGCAGCAGGTTCAAAAGGATTGCCCACGCGAGAGCACCAATGCCGCCGCTGACGCAGAGGCGGCGTGCGCAAGCAGCGGCCCAGGCTGCAGCAGCAGCAGCAACAGCAGCAGGGGGATGGACGCGGCGGGGCCGCCGCCACTATGCCCGCCACGGATCCCTGGGACCCTGCGGGACCCGTCGGGCTGGTGGCGCCAGCTGCAGGCGCGCTGCTCGGACCGGCCAGAGGCAGTCGCCAACAACCCGCTCTTCTACAAGGCCAAGGCCAAGGGGTTCAGGGGCGTCCACCCTATGAGGTTCCCGGACAGGCGCCTGCCCGGCGGCGCGCGCATCTGCCGGCCTTTCAACTACGCTGTGTGCCGCGAGGGTGCGGGGCGCTGCGAGTACGATCACGATCACTGCCACCACTGCCTGCAGGCGGGCCACAGGGCAAGAGAGTGCACGCTGTAAGACGCACCGCGCGGTGTGCACTTGAAATCACGTGCTGCTGCAGGGGCGGGGGCCGGCGCGCTTTTCGGCTTGCAGGTGGCGGATGCAGCCGAGGGCGCCTGGCCGGCAACGACGGTAGATTAACAGGAAGAGGCGCCAGAGTTCGGACTGTGTGCAGCGCCGCACACTGAAGGCCAGCCAATGAAGGCTAAGGCAGCAGGAAGGCAGCACAGTATCAAGCTCACACCACTAAAGCACAATTGCAATCGCGCACTCAAGCATGTGCGCACGTACGGGCGCGCACACACACACACACACACACACATACACACACACACACACACATACACAAACACTGACACAGACAGGCACACTGGAGACAGCCTCTCACACGCCAGCAGGGTGGAATCGGACCACTCGGCCTCTCGGCCGCCGCGGCTTTGAAGGCCGCGCCCAGCACCAGCTGGGGTCATGCCGGGAGTCAATGATAAGGGAGGGGGGCCGGCAGGGGAGAGGCGCAGGCCCAAATGCACCAGATATCGAAGAGAATGTGTGTTTGAGCACCGCTTGACAATGCCCGCAACCGCCGTACGCACGCGGGGCACATGTGGGTGACATGCCGCCGCCTCACGGGCGCTGCGTATGGTTGAGCATGTAATGGGATGCGCAATAGGCATGGAGGATGGGGACTGCTATGAAACCGTGCGAAGCATAATACTTCTGCTTTGAATCCAAGCATGCAGGCACCTCGCGCCGTGCCTGCAACCCGTTTTGAGTGCCTGCAACCCAACAGGACATCAGTTGCATGAACGCAACCTTCAGTGGGCGGGCTGAACCCTGCATGAAATCTTCAACCTTCAAGTCAACACCACACTGCAACCTCAAGCTGCAACACGCCCAATCTGCTCTGCATCACAAAGGACTTCAAACTGCCACAGGCACCAAACTGATCACTGTTCCATCAATTGAACTGAATTGATAAGCGCCGCCGCAAAGCTTTGAATAGGACAACTGGATCTGAAAACTGCAGTCAACCACAGCCAACGCAATGCTCTTTCAAGTTTTTAAGCTAACCCAGCTGCTCTGCAAGTCTGCTTGTCTCGCCCCTCGACATTCAACAAACTAGAACCGTAATCACACCCACCAAAACCAATACTTCACCCCTGGTGCAACCCCAACAATTACAAAACTGTTTAAAGACAGGTAGACAATGCTGCTCGCGCTCTGAACTGTACACAGGGGACTCCACGCCACCACCACAGCCAGACACCTGCCGCCAACCGCCGCCCACGCGTAGAAGCGCCGCCGCCGCCGCCGCCAGCCGGCCCGCGCGCGCGCCTCACCCGTGCGCCGCCCTGTCCGCAATCTCCGCCAGCGCCTTGAACCCCCGCGCCGACACAAACTTGACGATCTCCGGCCGCGCCACCAGCTGGCGCCCGACGCCGCCGCTGCCATACTTCAGAACCGCCAGCTTGAGGCGTGGGTGCGCGGCGGAGCCGGCGGACTTCAGCAGGGCGTCTGCGGCAAAGTCGTCGGGCGCCGAGTCGGGCGCGTCGGACAGCACGCCGCCGGTGGTGAAGACGGCGACGCTCTGGCCGGTCTCGGCGGCGAACGCGTTGCACTGAGTGAGCGCGTGTGCGAGTGTGTGTAGTGGGAAACTTAGTGGGGACGAGGGGGGGGGGGGCGGGAGGCGGTTCGCAATGGCCGCTGAACACGAGGAGAGCGCTGAGGCGCGCCTGCCGCGCCGCTCCGCGCCTGTCCCCAGCCCGGCGGTGCACCAGCAGACAGGCAGACCATGCTGCCGCTGTCGCGCGCCTGCCGAAACCCATTCATGCTGTGGGGTCGGTCCTGTTGGTTTCGAATTCCCGCTCACGTCCTGCTTGAACGCCTCAAAGCGCTGCCGCAACTGTTGGAGGTCCATCGAAGCTTCACTCGGCATCGCTTCCTGCTCCGGCGGCACCACGGGCCCCCGCGCCACGTGGGCTGCGCCGCCCACAAAGCCCGCGCCCGCGCCGGCCCCGTCCTCCAGCCGCTGCCGCTTGACGCCGCCAGCCGGCGGCGGCGCGGGGCCGATGAGGGGGCCAGCGGCCGCGGCGGGCGCGAACGCGTCCGGGGCGGCGTGCGGGGCGGAGGGCGCGGCGGCGGGCCTGCAGAGTGGGGATGGGAGATGGGTTGGGATGCAAGGGCGCGTTGGGTGCACGATTGATGGCGACGGGAGCTCTCATGCATCAGGCCGGGGGCTGCAACCATGCGTCTTGGACATGTGTGCAGCAAGCTTCCTGCGGCCGGCCCCTGCTGCGTCGCGCTGCGCTGGCGCGCGCTCTCTCACCCGCCAAAGTTCGCGCGCCCCATCAAGCCTGCCTCCTGCGCCAGCGCGCCCGGCTCCCGCAGGTCCTCGTAGCTGACGCCCGGTGACGTCACCACCCGTCCGGGGTGTCGCAGGAGGGGGTGGGGGCGCGGCGTGGGCCGTCAATCAAGTGAAGGAAAAAGGGGCACGGGCCCTACCTGTTGGGGGCTTTTGTCTCATGTCGCGATTGCCCTTGCCACTACAACAGCTGTGCCCCCATAGAGCAACCGAGGTTGAGTCCCCTTCCTGGACATCACACCACTCCCAAGACAAATATGCGCGGAGGCGACGCCACCCACCCGTGTGCGAACGTGCACTTGGGTCCGTATGGGCACTGCCCTGTCGCCATGAACCGCTCGCACAGCTTTGTCTTGTGTATTGTGACGTTCTTCCCCACCACCCCCGCGCCGCCGCCGGGCCGCGGCCCGAACGCGCGCGGCGGGCCGCCGCCACCGCC